ATTCGTCTTTGGGAGAGGTTCAGAGAAATGCAGTGGGTGCTTTGCCTTGGGCTTCATGTTTCTTCCAGTGCCTACAGCAAAGCCAGCAGGATTTTCGGCATTGTTTTTACACATGTGTGAACACCAGGGTCTCCTTTCACAGCATGTTTGGATTTGTRGCTGCAGGAGACCCTTGCATGCACCCAATAAGTGTCTGTGGAAGGGCGAGACAAGTGCCTTSGTGTGATGAGATGTTCTGTGCTCCTTAATTGCCATTGAAGTGTGAAGAATCTCACAGACCCTTTGGTTGTCCCTTTGGTTACAGATGTGACTGTAGGTGATGACAACACACCTTCTCCGCTGAATACCACATTACAGTCTCTGGGGATTCACAGAGGTGAGTGCTGCCTACTTGCCTCTTCTTGTGCTTTGCTTGACACAAGCAGCATTTTCTTGTGCTTATCTTGTTCACCTGCCATTTAACATAAGGCTTTCTCTTTAGGTGCTCAGCACAGAATGTACCAGACCCAAAGAGCAAAGTCATCTCCTCCAATGTCATCGGACATTCTGCAGAAAKTCTTGGAGGAATTGGAGAGAGCAGCTGGTGGGTGGCTTTGGCTCTGTATTAAGGTGGTACCATTGTAAACCTTGAACTTCAGAACCTGAGGTTTCAGGAAAAAGGTCTGGATACACCACAGATCACRCAGCAGAAAGAGATAATCCGAGCTATGATGTACCTTTTCACACTTTGCATGTGCAGGCATGTGGCCCTGGTTGGTCTGGGTCTCTTCTACCCATGTGGTCCTCAGCATTTTTTTTTGATGTTAAAGCACTGGGCACTGGGACATGCTGTAAAATACGGGGAGAACGGGTTTCTGTTGATGACTTTTGTCTCTGGTGTGTGGAGATGCTGGGAGTGTTTGGGGAACCCTACAAGTGAATCATAGCTAATTGCTTTCCTGTGAGAGCKGCCAGCACCCAAGCAAAAGGGGGTGCAGGCTGCCCTGCCGCTCTGCACATCTAGGCCTACGTAGGGCATCCCTTTCAGTGCACTGGTGCACTAGAGCTCCTTTACAAACACATGTCTCGTCACATGGTATTTTAACCTTTTCTCCTCTGTGTGTCATTACAGATGTCCCTGAAGGCACTGCTCYTCCACCTTCTTGGGGGCTGGTGCCTTTGCTAGAGCCTCAGGGAGGTCACRGGGGTAAATTCTCTGTCTTCCTTGCCTTTTTTTCTTTTTCTTTTAATTAGTATTCTTTCTTTTTTTTCCTATTCTGTTGCCCTCCTGGGGAATGTAAGGTGCCCAGCACACATACTGCTCTGAAACACAGGGGAAGTGTTAGAGCTAGTGATGGGTCAGGCATTTGCTGGTTAGGAGGCCATGAGCGCAYGAGAAGAAACTTTTGGTCTTTCAATGCCAAGGCACTAGAATCAGTAGTAGTAACAACTGGGAATGCRAATTTGTTTAGAATTTCCAAACACACACACAGAGCAAGATTATAGCCCATAACTGGGTACTGCAGAACCCAGTGATGTATGGGATTGTCTCCTTTCGTYCAGGTCTTGCTGAGGACAAAGATATCAAGGTTGCAGCTCTGAAATCCCCAAAGAAGCCCCGATTGGCCTTGCTTGCCACAGTCCCAGGCTTCATATTGGCTGGGCTCGTGACCATTTGTATAGCTGCTTCCCTCATCMTCGAGAGAATACCGTGAGTTGTCCTTTTTGACATTCCTTATATTTTTTTCTCTTGTAGAAACCACACCTGTGTAGTGATAGTACCGTGGACTGCCTGGTCCTCAGTACTCTGCTGAGAAGTTCTGTGCTGAAAGCTTTCCTAAGTGGACTCTCCCTTCCTAGCAGTGAGGACTCCTTCCTGAAAGCCCTTCTTATTGTTGCAGAAAAGCAATGACAGCTGGTCCTGATGCTGACTCCAGCAGGGAAGAATCAAGAGTAGAAAGCGGCAGTGCAAAACCAGGAAATGAAACAAAAAYGGATGAGGTTYCCATGGAAAAGCAGGAGGATATCTGCATTTCCATGCATTTCCCCCAACCGCATCCTTCCGACTGCCTGTGTCTCCACTGTCAGCAGGGACAACGGACTTCAGATTATTATTCTGAATAAAGTTATAGAACTGTTGGGATAAACAGGGTCAAGTCCATGATTCTTTTGGCACATTGTGTCTGGGTGTACTGCACTTATGGCAGGGTTGGATGGATGTGAGGAGCTGTCAGATGTGCTCCATGAAGGCATCCTCACGGTCCCATTCTCACTTYGTTTTTCTGGTTTGGCTGTCATCACGGTTTCATTAATCCAAAGGGCGAAGGAAAGGAATCAAACTCTKATGTAGGATCCAAGAGGAAGGCCATGGCAAAGGGCAGCCCAGGAAACCTGTTGCTTCCCTGGGTTGCTGACAAAACCCCAAGGGAGCTGGGGAGAAAAGAGCATAGGAGAGGAAAGGCACGCGGTGAGATTTTACTCCTTGTCCTCACTAGAGGCTAGTGCTGCACAGTGTGGGCTGATGGCAAGTCAGATGATCTTTCCATGCTCCTTTTTCTTCCTTACACAATAGCCAGGAAGCCAAATTTTAATCACCATCTCATGGAGTCTCAGCGCTCTTCTGGTGGAGATCCATACCACATGGCTCGAAGGGCTGAGCTCCAGAGTGGACGATTGCCCCGGAGGACCTTGATGTAAAATTACCACATCGAATGTAAGACTTCGATGTTTTACAATGTAAGACAGCATCTCACAGAGTCTCAGCGCTCTTCTGACAGACAGCCATACCAGGTGGTTCGAAGGACTGGGCCCCGGAGCGGACGCTTGTGCTGGAGGACCTTGCCTGGCAAGCAAACCTGCAGCCAAAGTCGCGAAGCAGGAAAGCGCAGGGAGCCAGCGGCAGCACCAKCCTCGCCCTGAGTGCGCGCAGGCGGCTCTGAGGCAACAGAGCTGGCAGCACCACCCCCTCTCATCCAAGAGCAGTCCCCAGTGAGCGCAGGCCCCAAGAAGCCAGGCGTGTCAGGGCGTGGCAGGGTCATTGGCATGGGCAGGGCRCAGGGAGAGCTGCTGTGGGCTCAGAGAGCTCTCCCGTGATGTCGCCTCAGTGTGGAATCGGTGGAAGCCGTGGTGTCTACTAGGCAGGAAGCCAGCACCATGAAGACTGTGGGGACACAGACAAGACACGGGCACAAGCAGCAGTCTAGGTCTCTGGYTGTGTGGAGTGCCTTAGGCTCTCTGTGTTACCAGGGGTAGCAGAGACAGYGCCTGCATTACATGTGAACAGGCAAATGAACTGCTTGGCCTGGTGGCRTCACTGAAGGAGGACGTAGAAAGACCATGAGAGCCCATCAGAGAGTGTCAGAGAGATGGGTGGAGTGCAGCCCCACACACATTGCGAGAAGTCTACCCAGGGAACACTCCAAATCCAGCTGAGGATTCCCTAACCCTCTTGCTGTAAGGCAGAGGCAGCAGAGTTAAGAAAGCAGGGGGAATGGAAACAGGTCCCTGCTTGGGGTGGCAGGAGAATCCCCTCCCAAATCCCCCTCGCCTCCCCAGGTGTCCATACACAATAGGTATGAGGCTCTGGAGCTCGAGAGACAGCCTAAAGAGGGCATGAATCAAGGTCCATCTAGGGGTTTACCTAGGGTGAGGCACTCACGCCCACACCTTATGACTCCCTCCACTAAAAAGAAAAGACGGATAGTTGTGGGCAATGACCTTCTGAAGGGTACAGAGGGCCCTAGTTGTCGACTAGACTCTTCCCACAGGGAGGTCGCTTGCCTCCMTGGGGCCTGGGTAAGGGACAYTGCACAAAAGCTCCCTCGTCACTCCCTCTGACTTCTATCTGTAATTGCTTTTCAAAGTTGATGGTGAAGAGGTTGACAAGAGAAGCCTGAAGTCCATCAAAAAGGAGGCCCATGATTTGAGGGTGCAGGAGTGCAGGTGGTGTTCTCTTCTGTCTCCTCAGTGTCAGGGAAGGATGCTGAGAGGAACAGGTAAAGCCATCTGCTTAAAACATGGCTAGGAGGCTGTGCTCCGTGGTCGAATTTGAGGTTTTTCAACCATGGGTCAGTATATATGKYACCYGCCCTGCTGGTGACAGGTGGGGCTCACTTGCCTTCAGGGAGAAAAGAATCCTTGCCGAGGTGTTGGTGGGGCTCCTTGAGGGGCTTTAAACTAGGTATGGAGGTAGATGAAACTGGGATCACTTAGGGGTGGCATGTCAGGGTTTGGAGAGTCCAGCGGAAGTGCATCTACACCAATGCATGCAGCGTGGGCTGCAAAGAGGAGGAGCTCAAGGCCAAGGCACAGCAGGAAAACTTKGACACAGTTGCCATCACTGGCACCACTGTCATGTCTGGAGTGCTGCAATGGATGGCTGAAGACTCTTTCCATGGGACAGGCAACAAAGGAAAGGTGGTGGGGTAGCACTGTGTATTACAGAGTCCTGTTAATGCTTGGAGCTCCAAGTAGGGGGATGAAAGAGTCAAGTGCTTATGGGTCAGGATCAGGGGGAAGGGCAACAACGCTGATATCCTGRTGAGAATCTGCTCTAGACCACCAACCAGGATGAAGTGACAGATGAGGCATTCTACAAGCAGCTGGCAGAAGTCTCAAAATCTGCAGCCCTTGCTCTGGGCCTGCTCTTTGTGAACAGAGAAGGACTGGTGGGAGATGTGGTGGTCGGAGGCCATCTTGAGCATAGTGACCAGGAAATGAGAGCGCAAGGATGACACTTCAGAATCGCCTCACCCTACATCTTTTACTAGCTCAAGAACACGGACTCTGTGGGTATCTGAAGTTAAATGCAGATCACTGATGTAGTCATATTCCTAATGTCACTGAGGACCTTAGTAAGCAAATCGATCAAATTCAAAAGGTGGCCCAACAGGCCAGGGACCTTAGCAAAGATATGGAAACACTGAGGTTAACTAAACTTTTTGGGGAAATCAGACAGATTTCTATCAATGGATGGTTGTCATCTTTACTCAGACTATTTTTATTTTAATCTAATAATTATAACCTGTGTTATAACCTGTGAACCTGTTCAGTGTTGCCCATCAATCACGGTGTGCTGTTCTCACCGGTGTTGCAGGAGGAACCAAAGGTATTACCGTGATTATGCAGTCTAAATGCAGTCCAGGTGAGACTCCCGAAGAGACCTTACTTTTGAAGACTCAAAGAGGGGAACTGTTATGAGAAACCCCAAAAGAGAATGCACCCAAGGGCATATTTTCGCTGCCATTGCTGGTATATTATGAGAGAATATGGACAAAACAGCAGGTGTTMCTCGGMCATCATAAGAGAATACRGACAAAACAGCAAACATCGGCTGAGGGCAAAGATAAGGACCACCGTATCTTCAAGGAACTGGCTGAAACAGGGCAGTAGGACCAAAACAGTGCCTTCTGAGCCAAAAGGTAGCCATATATGGAAGTGAGTTACTGAAGGTCATCAAATGGACACAGAAAGACAACCAACCACCAGGAGTCTGAATGCCTACTTCTTAATACTACGTTGGTGTTAAGAAGTTTATTCCCGGTTTTCGGAGACAGGAGGATCTGGATAGGCTGGATGAATGGCTGAGGCTAAGGCCAACTGTATGAGGTACAACAAGGCCAAGAGCCAAGTCCTGCACTTTGCTCACAACAACCCTATGCTGTGCTACAGGCTTGAAGCAGAGTGGTTTTGACAAGGCAAGAACCGCAATTTTTGTACAAAATCACATTCTTGGATGAAATCTTATTGCCCACAAGAGTTGGGCTTAATTGGTGGAACATCTTTCATACAGGAAGTCGTCCTGAAAGGTTGTGCCGTGAAGAGTTAATTTTGAAGCTGATGCCAAGTTAAACTGACAATCAAGTTTGGAATTTAAAAAAGTGAAGAAGAAAGTTATATTTGAAAGCTAATACAGCAGATAAGACATTTCACAAGATGTTAATATCTAAAGAGAGAGATGCTTTTAGAAGACTTCTAAGTAGAAAAGTTGGCAGAAAATAGATACTCAGAGTATACTCCTCTCAGGAAAACGAGCTGCACTGAGATGAGCTTCATACATTTCAATGAAGTATGCACAACACTCCTAAGACYTTCTTCATCGGTCTCAAAGACACTTCATAACTTAATAGAAAATTGAAATATTCCTTTAACAAAACATCACTGCTCCCAGACATGGCAACACACTTAGGTATTATCTTCTTTGTTTTTTACATATGTCAAATCTATCTGATCAGAAATTGCTTGAAGCCTGTGGGATGGTACAACAGGCTTCAGGTACAACATGGARGAGAGGTCTGTAGTCAAAGATGTAACTTACTCTTAACCTCTTTTTGGAACATGCARAAATGTAATCTTTTCCAACACAGTTGGACAGCCTGCTTTACAAAGCCTCAACAGGCTTAGCATCAAAAGCAAGTCGCTCACATTATGGCAAGGTTTAGAATCACAAAGGAACAGTCTAATGTAAAGGTAATGACTTATGTCAGAGTCATCTGAAAGATATGAAAATGGAGGAAATACCAGTCCCTTCCACTCCCTTTCTTGCACTTCCAAAAGGTTTGCTTGCACTCATCACCAGGGCTGCAGATACTCACTTCTGCATTAGAGGAGCCTTCTGACTCCATGTGAGCTGCTACACTTCACACCTTCCAGTTCCTCCATCAAAACCAGCTCCTCCTAGCTTGCTGATCCTTCTCAAAGGAAGCACACTCAAAGGAGTTTAGCTTGTACTATTTATTTTGCATGTATTGTGCACATTTTCTATTGTGAGTTTATGGGCAGTTTGCTTGCTTAGACTTTTTGACTTTTTTAGRCTTTTCTATATGAGCATGCATGTCACACAAGTTTCCATGTTGGAGGCACAGGGATGGAAGGGACAGTTATCCTTATTATCATATTCAGGAGTGTGTCTTGTGTGTGTTAGAGAAGAGATTTTGGCTGCTTTAGGTTCTGTACTGCTGCTCAGTTCCACATTGCCTGTGGGCATGTGCAGTCCTTGTCTCCTGCATGTGGCTACCAAATTGCCTGTTTCACTCCTTAGTCTCAGGGCTACAGAAACACAGCTGGGGTGTGAGTAGAGCTGGAGGATCCTGCAGGCAGCACCACCAGTGCAGCCGCCACCAGCACCAGGCTGCCTGCACAGAGACTAGATCCACAATTGAGAAAA